TAGTCTCCCAAGTATAAGAACGACACTGCTAGCATGCAAACGTCCAGGGACACCCGTGTTCGGACGCCTGCGACTACAGTCTGTTTTCGTGCATCCACGCATGGCCCTGCGTCCGCGTCTCACGTGGCCACACGGGGGACCGCACCGCCGAACATCGCACGCGCCCACTCCCGCTTCCCACATACATCTTATGTGTAATACCCGATCTACTTTTGAAACATTCAGATGCAACACTTGTAACATAAAAAAGTAGATAAAACACTTGAAACATGTGTCTAAAAACACTTGCAAAAACATTTGAAAACCATTGAAACTATACGCAACATCCAAATAAAATGGTTTCAACATATGTGTGAAAACATATGCAACATTCAAATAAACACGCTTGCAACATACGTCTAAAAAAACAGATGAAACATTGGAGACAAACTCTTGTAATATATGTCTATAACCATTGCAACATATGAAACATCCCGATCTATTTTTGCAACATCCATATGAAACGCTTGCAACATACCTTTAAAACATCAAAACATTTGAAATGTGAGCTTGTAATATGTGTTTTTCACCCTTCCCTTCGAGATCGGGAGCAGGCGTTTCGACCAACGACGAGATGGTGGCGCAAGCAGAACAAACGGTTTAGGCCCGGCAAACGATTGCCCTCTCTCCTAGGGTGCCGAGGATGGTCGTGGAGGATGGTGGCGCAACTTCGAGAGGCATGTGGCCAACCGAACTCGCTGGCGTGGCGGTCGGCGCGCGGTGGCTTGAAAGGCTCGAGGCAAACGATTGCCCCCTCTCCTAGGGTGCGAAGGGAGGGCAATGCGGTGGAGGCACTGCGCGCGATCATCTTTTGGGTGTGGAAAGTGTCGCTTGTTTTTTTTAGAAAGCGATGGCCGTGAGGGGAGAAGAGGTGAGCAAGAGGTGAAGCGCCCGCTCAATGGATGCGAGATGGACGTCGCTAGAGCGGATGTCTTCAACGATGCAGCATCCGAACCAAAATAGGTGCGTGGTGGAGGTGGCGGATGACCCGGTCGGCATTTTGGTCAAGCGATCCGTCTCCCCTCTCCGACACAAATGTGCGCCTTGCAAGGTGGGCTCATGGCGAGCAGTTTCGCGACGGTTGCCGGCGCTTCAGCGAAGCAGCCGTCGGATATGCTCGCCATCGATCCGTAGGTTTGCTGCGCGGATCCGGTGTGGAGAAGGAGCGCCGCCCGAGGATCGCCACCGCCGCTGGTGGTTGTGGAGGAAAAGCGAGAGAGAGAGGGCAATGCGGTGGAGAAAAGCACCGCCCGGTTGTGCTCCCGCAATCGGTCTTTGTGGTGGAGAAAGAGGACAAGTGCTCCCGCTTTTTTTTTTCTTTTTAGAAACCGTGTATATGCGTGAGGGGAGAAGGACTATGGGCTGGTATGCAGGCCTAGCTAGAAGCGTCCGTTCGAATGGATGCGAGATGGACCCTGCGCTGGAGCATTAGCGGTATAAGAAGGGTGGGCGGCAGCTCGGGCAAGTGGAGTTGCTGTTGTGGTGCCTTGTGCCATGGTTGCGGCGAAGGTGTTGGGATTTCAAATTTCTCGTGGGTTGTGGGGCCGTTGGGGGATTCGAATTTGAATTCCATTTCGATTTTTGTTGAAAGAATTCCCTTTCGAAGCTGGAAGCACCAGCAATTCGAATTCCCTTTCTCTTAGAATACGTCTCCAGCGTTTGGAGGCGCTTGGAGGAGCACCTCTGCGCCTGTGTCCCCCGTACGGTGCCATGCTGCGAATATTTGGAACGCGGATTTTTTTTTGTTTGTGAATCTTTTGTGTAAAATTAAATTGATTCTTGTGAAATTGAAACTACTTCTTTATTTTTGTCACTACTACTGTATAAAGTCATGTTCTATCGTAATTGAACGAGTTATATTTCAGTTATATACAACTTTTTTTATACTTGTAATATAAACGTTTAATTCTATGTCTGAAATAAATCCAATATAAGGTGCGTATAGCAGATTCGCCGGACAGGGTGGAGCCCATCGGCGCCGGCTGGGAGCCCAGGACGGCAAAACGCCGTGTAGTCCCATCGTACGCTAAACCATCACGGCATCGTCACGACGCTCTACCACCGTCTGCCGTCGGGGCAACGCAGCGTCACGTACGGTTCGGTCGTGCTCCGGTGCACCAGTGCTCGTACATGTCACGTTCCTGCAGCTGCAGCTCCCTGTCGTCGCCGGAGGTGCCCTCGCGATGGGGAGAGGGAGCGAAGGATCCCGTCGCCGGCGCTGATGTCGAGCTGTGGCTGAAGTTGGGTGCAAACGGTGCTCGACGTCGTGTGTGAGTGTGACGACTGACGAATGCTCTGCAGCTGTTCTCCCTAGGAAAGATAAAAGCTGCAGAAAGCTATTGCTCTGCCGTTGTTTTAGTGTGATTCTCTATCCTAGGAGTAACTCATTTACAGTGTGTTTACCAGGTAGCATTACGTCTACGGCAAACTGAAATAGTACCATTCATAATCGACCAGAACAGTCTGCTGATATAAAAACACCATATAGATAAAATCTGCGTTCTGCCCAATTGAGAATCTGCATTCAGGTTTACAATAACACTTCTACCTTTTTGTTACGCAGTGTCAAGTTTCAGAGAGAGGCGTAACGTAAAATTTGGGAATTGCAATGCCACACAAATTTTAATCTATTATACAGAATTAGCAATACAAGACAAGATATCCAGGTAATGAACTAGAGCAATAATGACGGACGGAAGCGTTGCAGATTTCTGGACACTTGCCAAGGAAAATTCAGAGAGTCAAGCTCATTAAGGAATTAGCATTCAGGTTTAGAATCTCCGGTCTCTCAATCCCCTCATCAACTACTTCAGATCAGACAAAGAGAACTCCAGAACAAAATGGGTTTGGACACTGAAAATTCTTGAGAAGATTGACATAATCACAAAAATTCAGTTTCCACGAAAATATTCTGCACACAAGTTTAGGAAATTGGGTAGGCAAGGAAAGAAACACTGACAATTAGTAATAACAAATGTAATAACTCAACGCACAGAGATTTCCTGAAATTGAAAGAAGGCTTTGCTAGCTTCCTGAGTCAACCACAACATATCATTGTGCTAAACTAATCAACAATCACGTGACATGATTTACCTTCAAAAAGAATCATCATGCCATGACAACATCACTAATCTGAAGAGCAAGACAAGAGTCTGAATATACTGTAAATGAGTTAGCATATAGAATCACACTAGTTCAGATCCCTTGCACTTCCACCTCAATGCTAGCCTGTATTGATATAAGGAACACATAGCAGTAGAAAACACATGTTCAAACCGGATTGAACAAACAAGCAAATCGAATTCCATGCCAGTCTGCAGTCTGTTATCAATTCAGTCATACTAAACTGCTTAAACGGCAACTACTGTTTGTTCTGCATTTAGTAAAGAAAACAGAGACAACACTGCAGACAGAAATCAGAGAACACTGGAAAGTAGCTGCAGGTTTCAGCAATCCAAGCAGTACGTGTGATTTCGACAGTTACTAACTCTGAATATTGCAATCAGCAACTATCTCAGTCTGAATATTGCAATTCAGTGAGTCAAGTCCATTAAGGAGCATTCAGTCTTAGCTAGAATCACCGGTCTCTCAGTCCTCTCATCAACTACTTTATATCAGACAAAGAGAACTCCATAACAATATGGGTTTGGATACTGAAAATTCTTCAGAAGATGACATAATCACAAATTCACAATTCAGTTTCCACAGAAATATTATGCACTCAACTTTAATAAATTGGGTAGGCAAAGAAAGCAACACTGAGAATTATTAATAACAAATGTAACAACTCAATGCACAGATATGTTATTGCAAAGTGATTACGGAAATTGAAAGAAGGCTTTGCTTGCTTCCTGAGTTCACAATTCAACCACAACGTAGCATTGTGCTAAACTAATCAACAATCATCATGCCATGACAACATCACTGACAAGTCTCTCACCTAGTTGCCATAAGAACAGAGAGCTCACAATAAACTTAGTATGGATACTGCAAGAAAAATTAAGGGATTTCGGATTTTATTGCATTGACACCATTCTGCATCCGAGTTCCCGAAATCTGATTGGCAGCCCAAAAAAACACCAGAAACTACAAAAACCTTGTTGCATACCAGAGCTCAGACCACACCAATGCAGAGAATTGGACTAGACTGATCAGCATTCATTGTAACAACATCATCGATCTGATCAGGAAGATAGAAATTACAAACTGTAAATGAGTTAAGGATAGTAAATCACACTAGTTCAGAGACTTTAAGTTTTGTGCAAATCCAATTCTATGCTAGATTTTACTGCGATAAGGAAAAACCAGAAACCTAACAAACGCATCTTGATTGCACAAACATTCAATTCCAGTTAGTGCTCTAGCTTCACACTAAACTCCCATGAACGGAATATCATTTGTTCTACAGATTCAGTTAGCACAAACTAATGGAATACAGGTTCAGCACTTGATACAGAGATTCCAACATCTTTGTCACTCTGAATATTTGCAACCAGAAACAACCTCAAGGATGACAGAGCAGTGGCTGAAACCCATAGCAGTAGCAAATGCAAATGCATGTTCAGACTGGATTGAACAAACAAGCAAATCGAATTCCATGAGTCTGTTATCACTTCATTCATAAACGGCAACCATTGTTTGATCTGCAGACACAACGACACCACAGACAGAAGCCACAGAACATTGGAAAGTACAGTAATATGTAGGTTCAACAATTGAATATTGCAACTACTCAGTACTCAATCTGAATATTGCATTTAGTGAAGAACACAGATACAACACCACGTCACAGAACATTGGGAAGTTCAGTAATATGCAGGTTCAGTACCCACTCTGAATACTGTAATCAGAAACTATGCAACTCTGAATATTTCAACCAGCATCTACCAAACTCTGAATATTGCAATCAGCAGCTACCTCAGAACGTCAATTAACACGATCTCAAACAAATCAAACTCGCCTCACGGGAGAAGCCAAGCCGGAGGAGAGTGGTCTGATGGGTCTGTCGTCGGGAAGCAGCGCAGAACACGGCCGTCGGAATACTTCCCATTGTCGCTGCAGGGGTACGGCGTGATATTGTGGTCGCGGAAGAAGACCCCCTCGTCGTCGGACTCCCCATCGTCCAAGAAGTAGATGCCGGCCGTGAAGCCCGGGTACTGATCCGCGTCGTACGATCTGGAGCAGCCATACCCGACGAAAAGAATCCGGCCATCCAGCGTGTCCATCTCGCTCCATGCCCAGGGGAACTCCGCCACGGGGAAGTCGGCGTCGTCAGGCATCTGCGGCCGTTTCGTCGCCCGGAACACCTTGAACTTCGACGTCGGCTCATTAGGATTTGGGGAGAACCTGACCACCAGGAGTAGTTCGCCGCGGGACGGGACGAGGTAGTGAGAGCGGACGCGCTGATCATAGTTGCGCCCTCCGGGATGGAAGAAGCGCCGGTTCTCCCATCCGTAATCCTCATCCGAGACTGTCGTCCAAACACTAATCTCGTCGCCCTGGACGCGCAGCAAATGGAAGGCTTCGTCATGGTAAACAACGTCATCGGCAAGGAAGAAGCCGTTGGGTGGCCGAATTTCCATCGCAAATGGCCACCCCTTCTCCCAGATGGCAAGGTAGCGATAGTGCGGTGGCACGGGGGCTCTGACGACGAAGACGGCGCCGAAGTCCTTGTCATCCGGTGATGACGAGAGCGCGGCGGCGTCAATGATCATCTTGATTGGGTGGCGGTGGTGCGGGTCATCACGGATCAGCATCTTGCCGGGGAGGGCGTGGACGTCGCCGGTGCGGACGTTGAGGAGCTGGTGGCGGTGCGGGTCGCGGAAGGCGACGAAGACCCAGTCGGCGTCGTTGGAACCGAAGCAGCGCGCCCCGCGCGGGATGACACTGGCGTAGTGGTGGTCCTGGTGGACGCGGCAGCCGCTGAGTAGACAGACGAGGCGGGCGTTGCCGTTGGGGTTTGGCGCGGGGAGGAGGAGCCACGGCAGCGCGGGCGGCACCTTCGGGGTCGGCAGTCCTTGAGCGCCTTCAGCCACGCGGGGCAGGCGCGGTCCTCCGGGCGGGAGAGGGGAAGCCGGAGCCGGGGCGTGGACTCGCTGCTGGCTCGAAAGGGTGATGAAGGTGGAAGAGAAGGCGGTGGCCGGTGGCGAATTGGAAACGCTGCGCTGCGTTGCGTCCCCTTTTTATTGCGGAGGAAGGCGGCGCCCCGGAAAAGAAGCCAGCTGTCGGTTGCAGTTGCTGCTTGCTGGGACTCGTGTTGACGTTCTGCAACTTGCAAACCAAGCGTGGAAATGTCGGTGGGGAGATGACTCAGTGAGTCTTGCAAGTCTTTTTTGAAGTGATCAGGAGGGGTTTTAGCCCCTACTGTAATTTATTAAAGCCAAGTAAACTACATTTTCAAACAACTTTAAATTGCTTTCTCAAACAAACTTTAAAATCTATTAAACTACATTTTCAAAGACTTCTAAAACTCATACTTGAACTCATTTCTTAAACAAGTTTTTTGAAAAATAATTTTAATATTTATTATGAAAATGGGACAAAATCTATTCGAGGTTTATTCGAATTTTATAAACTATTTTTTGGGGCTTAAGTGTTCATGGCTTCGTTTTTAAGCAAAATGGTGATTTTGCTTTCTTTTTTAGTGATTTAACCTTGTGTTTTTGAACTGACGGAAGAGTCTTGACCTATTCCGTGAAATCCAGTTGATGGTATTAGCTTACTTTTGCACGACTGGACAAGTTTGTCTATGTAATTTTATCCTTATTTTTTTTACAGAACTCTATCATTTTACCCTAATTCCAATGTTATAGTTTTGAAAGATTCGATACGGATGTTGGCAATAAAATTAGACACACATTTTAGCTTTCATTTTATTATTATAGATCTATGCAAAATTTGTCGAATTTTGCAAAGTTCAGGTAAACATAATTTATTATTAATCATCTAACCATTAGGGATAACCAAGAGATATCATACGAACATACAGGTACATATCACATTGATGTCTAGATCACATACCAACATATCCATATGACATGGCAATATACATGTCCACATGACATGTCAAACAAAAGTAACCACTAGCATTTAGTTTTGACATCTCTATTGGCAAACATCACATTCAAGTATATAGTACGTAAGACCTAATAACACTACTATAGAAAATATTTGTAGCAACGGCTCAATTTTTTTTTAGGAGTGGCTAGGAATGGAGACGGCCCTACAGTGAGCGTGCTCGGGACCCATGAGACCAGCCGCTCCTACAAATGGCACAGTAGGGACGGCTGGTGATACGAGTCGCCTCTATAAATGGGTCGATTTGTAGGGGCGGCTCACTCACCAGCCGTCTTCGGTGTTGCAATTTGTAGGGCGGCTCAATCACCAGCCACCCCTACAAATGCTGCATGTACAAAAGGCCACAACCCTCTTTTTTCTTCTCGGGTCACTCACTCTTACCCGAGAAAAAAAGGCTTGTGAGGCCTTGGGCACCTCTTAAAAATTGTTCTACTAAGGGAGGAAGGTTTTGGTCTTAAATCCTTTGATGGAGAGGTTGTAGAAGGTAAAAAAATGCTATTCCATATTTTTTGAAGTTTTAAAGGTTGGTTAGTGAGTAATTAGAGTTTTGCTTTTCTCTCTCTTCTATGGTGCTTGAGCTATTTATGAAGCAAATTAGACTCATGTTTTGAATGTACTAGAGTAAATTAGGTAGGGGAACAAGATCATACCCTTATTTGATCCATGTTTCTTGATTTTAGTGAACAATTAGTCAGTTTTATGGATGTTTCATGTGCATGTAGATCTAGATCTAGATCTAGGGTTTGATTTTTTTATTAATTTTGTTTTTGTAAATTTATGTTTGATGAAATTGTACTAGGGTTTGCAAAAAAGATATTGGGTAAAATATTAATTGTTGCTAATTGTTGTCTTTGAAATTGTTTATTGTAATAAACAAATATGTATTTTAATTATTTATGGATAAATAGGTCATTAATTAATTTTTCTCTACCATGTTATGTTTGTATGCTTCATATAATTATATTTGATTTATATTCATATATATCTAAAGTATATACAATTATTTGTCAAGTAATTATTAATTTGATTCATTTTTATATATATCTGAATAAGTAGTCCTTTAATATTTTTTTTGTTGTTGTTGTAAAATATGGAGTACAAGAACTCTTGGATGTATGGTTTGTTAAGGTTCAAGACAGGTTTTCGTGAAGACGTGGATAAATTTATTGAAGCCGCAGATAAGCATGCAACGACGTTGACAGAGAATAAAGATACAATTATTTGTTCCTGTAAAGATTGCAAGAACCGTATGGCATGGACAGATGTGACTATCATCAGATCACATTTGATTATGCAAGAATTTATTGAGGACTACACAGTGTGGATTCATCATGGTGAAACGGTTATCGTTAACAATGAGGATGAGGAGGAATATGACGACGAAACCCTAGATTCTCTGTCCCAATATTCAGTAGAGCTTGATGCACGAATGGATCATGAGTTTAGCAATGAACAAGGTGGTGATGCTGGTGGTTGGGATGGAGATGATTTGGAGGACATGATTCGAGTCCTTGGACCAGAGATTTTACTAAAGAGCCCGAAAGGTCTAGAAAATTTAGAAATGGTGACAAAAGCATTGAAGGAGAATGTGTATGGTGTTAAAAAGGGTTGTCCGACACATTGGACATTGCTACGTTTTGTGCTTGAGCTACTCATTCTGAAGGTTAAGTACTGCTGGTCAGACTGTAGTTTCAATGATCTATTGCGTCTCCTGTCATGGGTGCTGCCACAACCAAACTCAGTTCCCGCCAACACATACCAAGAGAAGAAGGTCATAAGTCCATTGATAATGGGGGTTGAAAAAAATCTATGCATGCCCCAACCACTGTATCCTTTTTTGTGGTGAAACGTTCAAGTCACTGGATAAATGTCCCTGGTGTGGGGCCAGCCGGTATAAGAACAATGACCTTTATGGTGGGGACGAAGCCTCCACGGGGAAAAAGAGGAATAAGAAGGGTACGAAAAAGGTGGTACAAGAATCTCAATCCCCAGAGGACACTCCATTAGGCAATGATGCAAAGTAGAGAAGAATTTCTGCCTTGGAAATGTGGTACCTGCCAGTGACCGACCGCTTGAGACGTATCTTCCTAAACCCTAAAGAAGCCATACTCATGACATGGTGGGATGATGAGCGCAAGGTGGATGATGATAAGATTGCACACCCGGCTGATTGTAGTCAGTGAACAAGGATCGATGAGAAGCACAAATAATTCAGCGATGACCCAATGAATGTACGGTTTAGCTTGAGCACTGATGGAATGAATCCCTTCAATGAGAGGATGAGCGACCATAGCACTTGGCCGGTGATCTTGACCATGTACAACATCCCAACGTGGTTATGTCAGAAGAGAAAGTACCTTCTCCTCACTATTCTTATTTCTGGTCCTAAACAACCAGGCATTGATATAGACATGTTCCTCGAGCCTTTGATGCAAGAAATGGAGAGGCTATTGAGGCATGGGGAGCCAATGTACGATGCGTTCCGAAAGGAGGACTTCATATGTAGAGCAATAATATTTGTTACTAACAATGATTACCCCACGTTGTTTGCTTTGTCTGGACAGATCAAAGGGAAGACATGATGCTTAGTTTGCTTGGATGGTAGTACATGGGTGTTCCTGGATGCATTCAAGAAGATAGTTTACCTAAGGAACCGATGCTTCTTAAAGATAAGTCAAATACTGCAACAAATTGTTATTTAGATTTTATGACAACACCCTAGAGATTGAACCCCCTCAGTAGAGACGTCATAACGGAGAACACGTGTACAGAATGGTGAAAACATATGCATCGTCTATGAAAAGAAGAATCCGGATGGGACAAACAGAGTTAGAAGCACACCTCCTATCGAAGGCGTACCTTTTAAGAAACAATTGATCTTTCTTTCATTATCTGCCTTATTGCAATCAGGGCTATAAAGCCAGAGTTCTTGAAAATGGCCATCACCCGCATGTGCTACTTCTTTTTGAAGATCTCACAGAAGACGATTGGCAAAAAAGAGCTGAGTGACCTACATGAATTTGTGGTGGAGACACAAAACCAACTAAAAATGTGTTTACCTCCTGCTTTTTTTGTTATAATGCTACATCTCATGATTCACATGGTTCATCAGATATAGGCGCTGGGCCCTTGCTACTTGCATGAAATGTGGTCCTACGAGTGGTTCATGTCGGTTCTAAGCCTATACGTGCATAATCGAGCATACCCAGAGGCTCCATGATAGAGGGTTACAATATTGAAGAAGTCGTCGAGTGCTGTCAAGAGTACCTAAAAGTAGAGAAAGGGATTGGTAAACCTGATTCTCATCACAAGGATAGGCTGGCTGGGAAGGGCACCAATGGTAGAAAAGTGTTCATCGACCATGATTACAAAGAAGTGAGTTGGGCGCATTACAGTGTCTTGCAGAGTACACAACTGATGCAACCGTACATTGATGAACACTTGGCTATCATTATGGCGGAGAGAAATGGTCGGTCAGATGATTGGGTCATGAAATAGCACAAGCAACGACTAACTACATGGTTGAAGGACCAAAACATACCATCTAGAGAAACCATAGACTCTATTACCATCAGTAAGTTGGCAGAGGGGCCATCGAGACAAGTGACATCTTGGAAAGCTTATGACATCAATAGGTACACGTACTATACCCACGCAAAGGATAGTAAATATGTAAACC